GTCCACCAAACTACTCCATCTCCCCAAATATATTTTCCTCAAATACCAAATGAGAACCTCTCATTTAAGGAAAAGAGGAAATTTGGTTTGGGGGATTTCTACCTAAAAATTTTCCCAAACAAACACTAAGCACAGAGCAGCCTCAGGGGAAAAACAAAACATTTCATCAGTTGTGAGACAACAACTTCAAAAACTTGTTATCAAGAAGAACAGTCTGGAAAGAATGTCACCTTCTCAAGTTTGAGTCCCTACATTCTGGGTCTTAGTAAAACATCACAAATGCCTGCAAAGTGGATGTAGCTAGATTTTTCTGTGCACATTTGAAGTCCACGCTGGAAGAGCAGAGTTGGGTCTCGTATCTGACAGCGGGCCAGCTGGTGGAGGACAGTCAGCAGGGAGGTGGGCAGACAGCCACGAGGCACCAGGCTGGTTTCCCCTAGGGAGCCCCCAGACTCACGAACACCCTGAAAAATCTCTCTATACAACAACAGCTCCCAGCTTCCCACTGCAGCCGTTTCTAACATCCTCACAAGACTTAATAAAGGGTTTCGGAGATTATAGGCTGTGAAAGATGGAGGAGAAAATGACATAATTTCTGTAATAATTACTAGAGGACATTTGCATGAAGGCTTTTATGCGTTATCCCAAGGCTTCCAAGAAATTTATAGGTTTCATTACAACGCACAATAGGGCACGGAAACTGTCAAATTTTGGAGACAAAGGTGGGGGGAGGGAACAAGTCAAGCACAACTTTGCAAGGGCCTCAAATTAATAGATATTCTGCACTTGAGAACTTTAATTCAGATGGATTCTATTTGCTCCTGTTCTCCAGGGCTGTCACAGGCAAGGAAGTCTGAATTGAATGCTTTCTGCTTCAAAGACAAATCAAGCACATGTTCATTTCCCCAAAGTAACACTATGCATAGCAGAATTTGTAGAGTTACCTTTTTTTGCTTTCTTCTGCAGTTTCAACGTATCTGAGGACTTCTTTTTTATCTCTTGGCGGGCTTTTTTATATTCTAAGAGAAAGCAGAATTATTGAATAATTTTACCACCTTGCTCAACAGAAAATCTTTTAGGAACAACCATTACTCTCATCACAGAAAGAATGAACAATGATACGCAATCAACAGCTTAATCAGGGTACTATATGGTAAAAAATCTCCTGCTGAAGGGGTTATTAACATGAAAACCAACAAAATGCACCATGGTCTTTTCCTGATAGAATTCACTCATATCAGCTGTGAGGAAAGACATCATTTGGGAATACTTTACTAAATGTGAAAAATCCACAATTTCTCAGCTCGTGTCAGGAAACTGAAGAATAGGATTTGCTTTCCCAAGGCCCCCAGTTTGCAGTGCTCTGCTCAAAAAAGAACCCATGTAGCAAACCACTGGCCAGATGTTACCATTCAGAGAAGAGCACTGAAGACTATAGCGTGAGAAATCAGACGGTGTCGGGGGGGGGGGGGGGGGGGGGGAGAAACTGCGACATGCCCAGCTGCCTTAGCCTCATTCTCACATCAACACCAAGGCCAGCACCAGACCCCCCGGAGAAGGGGGCGGCCCACAAACACCACACTTCCCCTGACAACCACCTCCGCTTCCCCTACGGGTCTACACCTATTCCTGGATTTCTCGTTTCTGTTGCTGGCACCTCCATCACCCAGATTCAGACATCTGAAATGACAGCTGCCTCTGACACTTCTCTCCTTTGCTGCCCTGGTATGCATTCAATTGATTGCCAACTGCTCCAGTTCCCTTGCAGCCTTCCCCGATACCTCCCTCCCTGCTGGTGCCATGCCACCAATCAGACACCTCAGTCACGTGCTCATGCGATCCACTGTTAGCCAACCCTTTCATTCTGGTTCACTCCCCTCAGATCCACTCACGTGCTTTCTCTCCCCGACACTTTACTGCAGTTATGAGCCTCCCAGCAATGAATGGCTCCTGCCCCTGCCATGATGCCAGCACCCCCACCCATGGGTTCCAGGAAGACCGGCTTGGGAGGTGTCTGTCTGGACCACTCTGCCCCCGGCGGCTGGGACATGTTTGTTGAAGCATTTCCAAAGAAGGCAGCAGTTC